GTAGATAATAAAGACACAGGGCCATCTTGACCTGGGTCAATGAATAAAAGCTTTAATTAAAACTTCACACCCTCAGGCTGGGGATGTTGCTCCATGTGTAAAGCACTAGCTTAGCATGAAGCTGCCCTGGGTTTAATCCCTCTCACCAAAACCAAAACAACTTCAGCTATTTTTATTTTATTTTATTTATTATTTTTAGCTCGATGCCCACAGAGGACAGAAGAGGCCATCGGATCTCCTGGGACTGGAGTTACAGACAGTTGTTAGCTGCCATGTGGGTGCTGGGATTTGAACCCGGAGCTTCTGCAAGACCAGTGTTCTTAACCGCTGAGCCATCTCTCCAGCCCCAACTTCAGCTATATTAAGTCTTAAAGGAAGCATGCTGAGAACAACCCTAACTTCTCCTATACACCATCAACTCAGTAGCTTTTTTGTTTTGCTTTTGTTTTAGTTTTGATGCTAACGCAGGGCCTCTGCATGTTAAGCAGATGCCCTATTACTGAATGACACCCCAGCCAAAATCAGGAGTTCCACTCACTGGACTGCATCAATTAGCTCAAGAAAGCAGTTTTCTGAGTTCACCCTGTGACAGATCCTAGTGGGTAAGTTCATGGCAACAGGGGATGTAGTTCTTAGCACATTAATTAATGGAAAATATTGTTCTGTTAATCTGAAAGCACTTACTTTTCTATATGAATAAACCACCATTCAAACTCAAAGAAAGTAGGGAACACTTTTATGGTGGCTTGAATGAGTGTCTCCCATAAGCTCCAAGTATCGGAACATTAGGTCAGTTGGTGGTGGTTTGGGGATAGTCATGGAACAAGTGTGGCCTTGCTGGAAGGCTTTAACAAGTTCATAGCCTCATCCTACTTGTAGTCTATCCATCCTACTTGCAGTCTGTCTGTCTCCCCCCCCCCTCACTTCCTGTGCCTACCTGAAGATGTGAGCTCTCAGTTTCCTGTTCCAGCCACCTTTGCCGCCATGCCTCCTCACCATGATAGATTCCTATCCCTCTAGAACCTAAAGCCAAATAAAATCTTCCTCTTTTAAGTAGCCTTGGTCATTGTGCTTTATCACAGCAACAGAAAAGTAACTAGTGTACCTTTCTTTTTACCCCAAGAGAGGCCCCCTTTGAATTCTGCTGCAGCTGTGGTCCAACAACACAGAGCACTGGGCTCAGCACTTCAGTCACCACTGACTTTTTCCTTCTCACTTTCTTCTGAAGAGCCAATTATTAGGAACATGGATTCTCCTTATAATGCCTTACCTGGGCACCAACAGCCTCCTAGGCCTCTTGGCCTTTGACTTCCTCTCTCCTCAGCACCAAACTGCACCAAGATGGCAGATTAACAATCCTCCTAAAATAGCATATTCCCACCAGGACTTTCGGAGCCACAGTGTTTGGGTAAAATCCAGACAGGGCATTTTGGTCATACAGAACCTGGCTTCCACCTTTGAGCAAGCAGCCTTCTCTTGAGTCCCTGTAATCCACATGTCTGGCAAATATGCTCCCTGACCTTGATGTCCCCATTCATGGTTCCAGTTCCAGTGTTTGTTCAGGAATGGTCCCTCTTTCCTCTGCCTTATAAACTCTTATCCACCAAGTAAGGTCCAAGGCCATGAGCTCTCACAGCACTTCCTATGCATACCACCTCTGCCTGGTCCTGATATCTGTTCAGCTGTGTAAGGCTCACCTAAATTCAGCTAGATTACAAGTTCCTGGCAGACCACATCCCTAACTTATTTTTCTTCTGCTCTCTAAGCATACATCACAGAATCTCACTAAATACGATTAGTAGGGAAAGACTGAACTGAGAGTCAAGCAGAATCCCACTAGGGCTAGCACTGGATGGTGGGGAGATCCTGTCCAGCCTTCTTATCAGATGTTTCTCAATCAAAGGGAAAATGCTCATCTTTTTCCCTGGAGACTGTGGTGCTGGCACACCTCACAAGCCTGAGACAGTTTTCATGAACTGCCCAAGCAATTCCACTAATTTAATAGAAAATGGCACTCAGCTCTTGACAATCCATGAATACAAGAGGGAGAGGCATGAAGGGCTACCATGGAGGGCCCAGGCTTTAGAGTCACTCAGGCCTAAGTTGGATTCTGGCCCGAGAGGCCCACAGGCTGTGGGAATTCCAGGCTCTGAGGCCTCAGTTTTATTGTGTGAAAATTAAAGGATAAAATTTTCTATGTTAAACACAATATCTGGTATAAGAATGGTAACACAGTTAAGGGGTGCCTCAAGACTACATTAGTGTCAAAAGACAAAATCAGAACACTTTAACAATCTTTTAAAAAATATTTTATCATTTTAGGTGTATGAGTGTATTGCCTGCATGTTTGTAAATGCACCAGTGTCATGCAATGCTCACAGAAATCAGTTTTTAAAATATTTTATTCATTATTTTTATTGTATGTGTATGAGTGTATTGCCTGCATGTATGTAAGTGCACCTGTGTTGTGCAATACCTGCAAAGGTCAGAAGAGGGCATTGTACACCCCTGGAACTGGAGTTACGGATGGCTGTTCACTGCCATGTGGGTGCTGGGAACTGAACCCCGGTATTCTGCAAGAACAGCCAGTGCTCTTAACTGCTGGGTCGTCTCTCCAGGCCCTAGTTTAACAATCTCAGATGGCTTTCTTTTCAGTTCTATAGTTAAGCAGTATTTCATCCCACAAAACAGAGTGAGTGTTCCAACAGGCTGAGCCAAAGGAGGCTGATTTTATAAACAGAAGGAAGGAAACAAGCAGAAATGAAAATGAAAAGGTAGATGGGTGATCTCAGTTCTCTTTGTAAAGCAAGCACAGGGAGACAAAACCCCTGGGGAAGCACCCCTGGGGGGTATTGCATGACTTTTTCTCTGTACGGATTAAGGAGAGGGAAGTTCACTGTCACGCAATTGCCATGGGCTTATATAGGCTATAAATGTTCTAATTCTTACTCCTTAGGTCAAATAAATAGCTAAGTTTCAGTTTAGTGACTAGAAATTTAGCGTGACTCCACTTTGATGTTTAATCCAGTCTGTTGGGGCCCAGTACAGTACCTCAGGACACTATGGCCTCTGGTAGTTTTTACTTAACACTATCACTCTCCGCACTTTAAGAATGCCCCTCTTAGGTACAGACTATATACTTTGAACTCAGACTGGCAGACCTTCTCTATTCCTTTCTAACACTTGTTTGATTGTGTCAATCAACTGGCTCCCATAGCCAGTTCTCTACAGAACAGCCTCTACACTGGGAAAATGGTCCACTTATCTGGCTTCCTAATAAGTATATATTTTTCAACAAAGAAAACAGGAGAAGGGAGTCAATGAAATCCATCTACTGAGAGAAAAGTGCATCCACTGTTCCTATCTGTTTTACTCACAGGCCTCCCACCTCACAGAAAACACAAGGGTCTCAATGCCAGTCATCTGGTGCAGCCTGGATTGGGCACAGCACTAGCTCTAAGGCAACAGTAGTCTGCAGAGGACAAATCACTTATAGTCTTATAATCAGTTTTATTATCTCTTTAAAGAAAAAACATGAGGGAGAGAGCAAAGTCTACACCTACAGCATAGAGAGGCCACAAAGTAGCCATTTGTTTCCTAAGAACGTGCTGCAGAGGACAGGAAACAAACCACTCACTGGAAGTGGGCATTAAAAACAGCTCATGCCTAAGAATGCTACAGCACTGCTACAGCAACAGCAAAACCCCAGGCCCTGAAGGCTTGTGATCTAGCTGAAGGGGAAATTGCAGATCAGACTGTGGCAGTTGGCCAGTGCCCTGGTAAGAGAATAGACCTGGAAGCCTATTGGGTCCTGGAGGCTTTGGATTTGTCAGATAGAGACGAAGAGCCTGTAAGGCAGAGAGGAAGTATAGCCAAGCTGTAAGTAGAGGGCAGTCATAGAACTACTAGAGGGAGGTGTCTATAGGGGCTCCTGGGGTCCTGTGTGTCATGGTATTCACTAGGAACCATGGTGTTTCTTACAACAAAGGCCCGTGAGTTCAGTCTTGAGCTATTGTGACAGGTGAATGGGAAACAGCTCTGAACTAGGAGGTAAGAAGACAGTGCTCTGAGACGGATAAATCTGGTGACAATGTGCAAGACAGACTGAAAGGGAAAGAACAGCCTGGGAGGCTGGAGAGGGCCCATGGCAGGGCACTAGCACAGCCAAGCCCCATCACTAAAATATAATCAGGGTAGTCTAAATATCAACACAGAGGAAAGATAGGAGTCAGGGATGGCGCTGCAGTGTAAGCCTAGTGGTACTAAAGGATGGAGCAGCAATTTGTCTAGTAGTGGTGGTGGACTCAACACACAGATAACTAAGCATAGAAGATTAACTACTAGTAGTAACATCACTGCCAGAGGGGAGGTTGGAACAGACAAACCTTTCTATAAGCAATACTGAGCTGTTCTTGCTCTCTTCTTATTTAAGCATTTCTACAACAACCTACAAAAAAGGGAGTCTCCCTGTTAACGTGCTATGAAAGCCACTGAGTGGCACACCACAGTGCCCTGCATAAATCTACCCAGCACTGGAAAACAGAGCAGTTTAGCCCTTACAGCCCTTCTGAAGTGCCTTCAGCCCCATGAAGGAGTGAAGCCCGTGGCACTGCATCAGCTAACTCAGCTGGGGTTCAGCTCCCGAAGGTAGAAAGCCACTGCCAACTGCTCCAGGCCTGGTCTTGTGATGTTTATTCAGCACAATTGGCTCCACAGGCAAAGTCAGAGGTCGGGCATGGCCTAGGCTAGCCACAATAGTGCTACAAAAACAAGTGGAAAGAGCTTGGAGTGAGCCTTCAGAACTGTGCAGGGTCTTGCCAGAGCCTGGGGTCAAGTTTTAAAACTGATTTCATATCAAGAAACAAAATTTGAACCTCTGACTTTTGAGACTGGCATGCAGTAGAGAACAACTATAAACCGAGCTAACCTTTACTGTTTGGACCCCTAGTGCATTTCCCACTTTATTTTGCAGCCAAACTTAATGGGGGGAAAAGGACCACATGTTCTTAGTACACAGGATTTGTGTCACCTTAGCAGGATAATTCACACTACATAACTTAATGGCTGTGAAGTACTGGAAGTGGAAAAGCAGAGTGTGAGAAGAACATAAAAACAGAAAACAGCAGGCAAAGGGGGAGGTAATTTGTGCAAGAGAAGAAACTGCACCAATATAAAGACAGAGAACATGGGTTCCCAATGCTGTTTTTTTTTTTTTTGCTTAGCATACTACTGATGAGCTCAAGAGGTCACAGAATTTTAAAAAATTCAAGACAAGGCTAATCTGTTATCAATTTAATTAAACTATGCCTTTATGGAATGAGCTTTAAGAACAAAAGTACAAATGCCAAACTTTTTTTTAAGGTTGTCCTTTGGTTGTTTGAGCATAGAATCTGTGCCGGATAGCTTCAGTGTTAACTTGACAAACCTGAGTTGAGGGCGCCTCAATTGGGGAATTGCCTCCATTGGACCAGCCTGTGGCCAGGTCTATGGGGGAATTTTCTTGATTGTTGAGTGATGTGGGAGGGCCCAGCCCACTGTGGGTGGTGCCACCCCTGGACAGGTGGGCCTGCGTTGTATAAGAAAGAAGGTTGAGCATGGGCCAGGTGAGCAAGCCAGTAAACAGCATTCCTCCATGGCCTGTGCTCCAGCTCCTGCCTCCAGGTTCCTGCCCTGAGTTCCTACCTTGGACTCCCTGATGAACTGTGACCCATGAGATGTAAGCCAAATAAACCCTTTCCTCCCCAAGTTGGTATTGGTCAGAGTATTTTGTCACAGCAATGGAGAAACAAACTAGGACAGAATCCAATGTAGACAGATTTTTCTTTTCATTATGGTGAACAGGCATTTAAGAATTGAAGACACACTCCCATCCCACCCAAAGCTCAATCCTACTCCTAATTAGGCTTCCCTGGAAGGGGCCCTAGAAGAGTCAGAAGGAAAGTTCCTGAGAGAGAAGTCATGACCTACATGCAAGGCTCAGTCACTGGATAGGGCGGGGAGGTGTGGAACAAGTCCTAACAGATTATAATTTCTCTCTTGCCACATGCCTGCGACTGAGGCTGGACAGGCACTATGCCAGCTCAGAAACTACCACCTGAAGTTCAACGCTGGGGAAATGAGGAATTGGGAACAGTCAGAATATCCATCCATGAGTTGTATAGCCAAAACAATGTTTATGTGGACAACAGGAAGTGCAAGTGTGTATGCACAGCTAGCTCTATCTTCTTCACACTTAAAAATCCCAAAGTATTTACAGTTTAAAACAGTGGACAGGCAGCGATAACTCTCAAGGCCCTGGCAAGCAACTTGTGCTCACATCACTTCCTTCCCTGCTTCTCTGCTTCCTGTTATCTCCCACCTAAGTGCTTCACAATCTGCCCTCAAGTGAACCAGTCAGAAGACTTGGAACTCATTCGAGATCAGAAACCAGCAGGACAACATGAGCCAGTCACTGGTGGGTAATGACAGCAGACTACCTCCAGAAGTAGGTGAGCTAGCAAGGGCCGACCACGTCAGTCACTTTCCTGCTCATGCTGTCTCTTTCTGACTATTCACACTCAGTTGTTCAGGATGGATACTGTCTCTACTGACTAGGCTGGCAGGCTGTGTCGGCTGTGTCGTTTTTTGTGATTACTCAAAGCCTTAATACTGTCCCTTCTCTTCTCATGGATCTCTCTAGATACTTTACAAGGCTGAGCAAATGACAGGGCTGCAGGCTCTCACCTACCCCAGTTTCTGCCTCCACTATCTCCTGATCCCCAATTAAAAAGTCGAAGGGTCTTAAGATCTGTGGTTAAAGAAGGATTGGGGAGTATTTCCAGATCTATTCAATTAGGTTAAATAAAATTAACCAAATTTACACTGTGCAAATGAGAAATGAGGTGACTGAAAAATGACAATTTAGTTATTCACTTTTATTTTTAAGTATTCCAGTGAAAAAAACACATAAAAGTATGTTAATTGTCCACATATTTAAGTCAAATATAAAAAATAAATATGCAAACTAAAAATAAGAACAGCAGTATAAATTTCTACTATGATAGCAACTCTGGTTTAAAAGAAAAGATATGGTAATGCTTTTTCTCCATACTACTGTGTCAAGATCAAGAGTGAAAAGGTAGCAACGTGGCTGCCTGGGAAAGCCAAAGGCTTTAAAAAGTTCTAAGATCACTTGGAAATTACTTACCTCAACTTTGTAAACTAGTGCATAAAACTAAGTCCTAATTTTCTAACACTTTACTCTTCTTTATACAGCAGTTTGGACAATGAGCTCATCCTGCCTTTCAACCGGCTCCACACTCCACTCCAGGAGCCATCCTCTTCTCAAGCCACTGCACATAGTCCTCAAACATTACCAACTTCCCCCTTTAAGATAAAACCCAAAACCGAAAGGGAGGGGCGGTAATTTGGGAGAGAGAAGTACACAGAACTGCTATTGGAAGTTCAGTTATTATAGTTTCACAGAGTAGCTACTGGCAGTATAAATGATATACAGATACATGAAAACAATATTTAATATCAAATCATCTCCCCAATAATTCACAGGCCAATTCTTAAAAAGGAATGAACACTGGTTAAAGAACAGTCTAATGCTAACAATAAATTCCCACAATTCTATACCATGAATTCTAGTCCTACTTAATTACTAAAGACTGCTGAGGTTATTCTGAAAATATGCACATTACCTGTCCTTTTCCACAACAACAGGGGTAGGATAGGACTGGTTACTTTTATTGCCAGTGCCCAACTGGCCATAAGAGTTTGCACCCCAAGCATACACTTGACCTTCATCTGTTAATACTAATGTGTGTGCATAGCCACAGGCAACCTGGAAAGACAAAAACAAAACAAAACAAAATTTCTCAGGCATGCAAATAAAAGGAAATGTTTTACCACTCTTATAAAGTAGGTTAAGAACCAAAATGAAAGGCAGCTTGCCCACAAACAGTAAATTAACCAAGACTCATGGTGTGAGTACAGGCCCAGTGACTGGCCAAACCTGCAGTGAGATGGCCCTGCGGTCCTTCAGCTGCCTCAGTCCACTGTATTGGGCCTTCACATAGCACTCATTCTTCTCACAGAAACCAGGGTGAAAGGCCAGTGTGAGACACACTTTTATTCTTTTTTTCTAGTTATTAAAGTGGAATGTGTTAAATGTGAAAAATAGGGGAAATAAAAATATGAAAATGTGCTCAAGATCAGGACTTGAGGAGAGGAGGGTTTTTTACTATTTATATACAGATATAGAAATATGCAGATACTTTTTAAATGATAATTTATGTAATGCTCTATCTTGCTTATTTTTATTTAACATTACTTTCACTGTTTAACATCACCTTCCCCTATTATTAAAATTTCTTTGTAAGCTGGACATGGTGGCACAAACCTGTAATTCCAACAGCCAAAAGGCTATATAGCAAGGGGTTCACAAGTTCAAGGCTAGCCTGAGCTATACAGTGAGACCCTGTCTCAAGAAAAAAGTGTCATACTGACCTAGCACAACTTATCCAATTGTTTACTTATCATTAGACTAGTAAATTATGCCATGTCTGTTATTTTTCTATTAAAATTATTTTTCTTGCTATCTTCTTATATGATTTTTTTGCATTTATTTTCCCCCTAAAAATTCTTATATTAATTATGCATATTAACAGGTTTCACTATGACTTCTTAACTAATCTTATGAGAGGCTTTTTTTCTTTGGTTCTTTAGGACAACTCACTAAGAGTAAAATTACAGGTCAAAAAGTATGAAGAGTTTTAAGGCTGCTGATATACACTGTCAAATAATCTTTGGGAAAGGGAGTAACAACTTATATTCTAAGCGATATAGAGAAGTACCCTAGAAAAAGAATTCTGAACAGCTACACCTTAATTCAGGAAGGAGCTTTATTAACCTTTATTTCAGTGGAAATAACAAAGCAGCTGAACTTGTAAGAAAACAATTCTTAGTACGCTTAGTATCCTGCCATTGAAGACATCGCTGTGGACACATGAGCCACCAGCAGACATACCCGCTGGACACGAATGCCTTGCAGAGCTGCCACTCTACACGGGGTTGGCTGGTTGCCACTGCTGCCCAGTCCCAGTTGCCCATTCCCATTGTAACCCCAGACGTAGACCTTAAGGAAGAAGAGAAACATAGCATTCAGCAATTCAGTTCTGTTGTGAAAAACATGTCACGTTCATATGACACTAAGAAGGCAAAGAAAACTTTTTAAACAAAGGATGAAGTAACCTTCCTACCTCCCCAGTGTCCACAACCGCCATTGAGCACATCTGCCCACAAGCTATATTCACAACTGCTTTATTCTGTAAACAGCCAGTGACTCTTCGAGGAATGGGCTGATTAGCTGTTGAGCCAGATCCTACCTGTCCAGAGTTATTATAACCCCAGGCAAATACCTATTTGAAAGAAAAGACTGATAAATGAAATAATGAAACACATTATTTATAAAGTGTCTCAACTGGACACTGACATGTACTCATGACACCTCAGAGCCCTTTCAAAGAGTGTCACCACCAGGCAGTCTCACAATATAGGCAGGAAAAATTTTATGAATGTTACCGTATAATGTGTTATTTTATAACACTGACGTCTATAAAAAGAGGAATAACTACTATCAACTATCATGTAATACAAAAATATCAGTCATATTTTTCAACATTTCAGGACTTTTCCTTTTGTAAATAATACCTTTGTTATAGCAATATAGAAAACTGTTTTAAAATTTACAGTGATAGGAGTCCTTGCTCCATATAGGGAAGCTTCTTCCCAATATAAACACTATGACAAGGAATGAATTTGAGGGGGTGGTGTGATTTTAACAATTTCTGCTCAGCTTATCTTAGCATTCATTCTACTTTATGGAGTAAAGCATTTCTTAACTGTATTTCTGTGACTGTAAAAGAATCAATAGGACATTATTGAAAACAATCAATGAGCCTTACGCTGAATATTCTCACCTCTCCGTCAGATGTTAGGACCAAAGAATGGTATGACCCACAAGCAACCTCAATGACTTGTTTGTTTGACAAATTAGTAGAGATGTGGCAGGGAACTAAACCATGATTCGTGGTCCCATTGCCAAGTTGGCTATAAGCATTATGACCCCAGGTAAAGACTTCTCCTTCTGAAAATAAAAAGAAATGAAGCTTGCAAAACACTTAAAGCATTATAGGAAAATCTATATTGCATGACTTCTACAAATGATGGCTAAAATTCAGCTTCAAAGAACTCTTCAATTTATTTTTTAATATATTTTATTATTTTTTATTTTATGTGTATGAGTGTATTGCCTACATGTATGTGAGTGCACCCATGTCATGCAATGCCGAGGAAGTCAGAAGACGGCTTCGGATTCCCCTGGAACTGGAGTTAAGGAGAGTTCGTAGCTGCCGTGGAGGTGCTGGGACTCAAACCTGGGTCCTCTACAAGAGTAGTCAGTGCTCTTAACTGCTAAGCCATCTCTCCAGCCCTATTCAGTTTCTTAATTCCACCAAATTCACTCCATAAGAGAATTCATTTGGAAACATACCCTGCCTTCTATCAGAAAATAACAGGAGAAAACTCAAAAGCATGCAGGTACAACAGCTAGAAGACAGGTTTTCAACAAACAGCACAAAGAACTACTAAGCAGTAACCAAGAAAGCAGTACAGTACGAGCCAGAGAGTGCTAGGCATTGCTTAACTCTTCTGGCTCTTAGTTCACTTTATATAAGGATCACTAAGGTAATCTACAATATACAATAGAATCAGAAAACTTTTTAAAAACTGTAGTTTTACAGATACTTACAAAGCACACATTCATGTACCGCTACTCAGGTAAAAAAACTATAGCCTGTCCCCAGACCCTTCATAGATGCAACTTTCATACAAGAATTTAGTCTTTCCTGATTTTTATCTCAATAAAAGGAATCGTTTAGTATGCCCCTTTGTCATCGTCATTTCCTCCATACTGCCTGTGTTCTAGTCTGATTAATTTCTTTTCATCTACCCTCCAGCTTATTGGTTTCTCTCTTTTGTGATAGACAGACTGCTCCAGGACTTGTCCAATAAAATTTTGGTAATTTTATTGTTCATTGGTCATCTTCTATGATGCCTGCAGATCTCTTAATTTCTTCACCTGTAAATCTTTTTAATTTTTTTCAAACAATGTATTATAATTGGTGTTTGGTATTTTTAATGTCTGATGTTCAGTAGTTAGTTCTTACTGTCTGTTGTGTCTACTGGTTTTGTTAGAAGTATAGGTCACTGGTTTGGAGTGAGCTCCAGTGCTAGGCCTAACCAAATGAGTCACTTAAGCGGACTTCCCATGTTACTACACAGAAGCTCAATTGTTATCCCACCTTCTGAGAAACTCAGAGCGGGGGAAAGCTGAAAGCCAAGCTCCCAAACAGGCTAGTTCAATCTGTAGACACTGAGGCTCCCTCTACTTTTGCTAGTCCTCTGAGTACGCCACCAACCTCTTCCACTAAGCTCACTGGAATAGTCATTCTATTTTATGAAGTGCTGTCTAATTCTATAATTTCAAGGAAAAGCCAGCTACGACCTGTAAGCTAAACTTGTAATTTTATCTTCTGACGTATACATGGTGCTTGTGTCCCACACACCTGTTTATCTTGAACCAAGTGGTATTAACTGACATTGAAAAGCTATCTGTGGATCTGGGAAGAGTCAAGGGGGGGAGCTGGGGGTAAATATGATCAAAATACACTGCATGAAATTCTCCAAAGAATAAAAAAAATTTTTAAAGAATAGCTAAGGGTGGCAGGGATGGCTCAGTGGTTAAGACACATACTACTCTTGCAGAGGACCCAAATTCAATTCCAAGTACCCACAGTGAGCAACTAACAACTCCAGATCCAGGAGGATTTGATGCCTCTGGTTTCCACTGGCATCTACACTCACATGCTCATAACCAACACCACCCCTCCCCCCGCCACAAACTTAAATAAATAAATCATTTGTGGTGATTCTTCTAGGCCTCCAATGGAAGTGATCTGCTTTAGAAAGGATTTGTATTAATGTCTATCAGTCCCTTAATACACTTCAAGTCCATACCGCTAAAGGCCTGGGTTTTCTCAGATCTTCCAATCTAATGTGAATTAAATTATTTATGCTTGCAAACTCTAGGGAGATGATTTATTTCACTTCCCCCTTTTAACTCCCTGCTTTACTCTGAGCAAGTCATTCCCCTCCTTGGCCCTTAGGAAGTGGCTGGTCCTATGCAGCATTTGCAGTCCAAGCCTACAGGAAGTGCTCTATTACACTTTTACTACACAGGACCTTAGCCTGTGCTCCTTTACCTCCTGAATATATCCTAATCACAGCTGGGCATCAGTGGACAGGCAGTTGCCTTGAAAGCAAAATAGCTTCAAAGTCTCCTCTAAGCTCCTGACTCCCTTTTTTTTTTTTTTTTTTTTTTTTGATAGTATTAGAAATTTACCCTAGAACCCCATGCGTTCTAAGCAAGTGTTCTACACTGATCCATGTGTTTGGCCTTTTATACTTTCTCTTCAATTTGGTCTAGTCATCCCTTTTTACCCTGACAGCTATTTTTAAAGATTTACGTTATTTTTATTTCTGTGTATGTGTGTCTCCATATGTTTACATGCACATGTAATGAGGTCACCCGAGGAGGCCAGAAGAGGATGACCGATCCCCTGGAACTAGAGTAACAGAGCACTGTGAGCAGCCATGTGCCTTCTGGGAACCAATCTCTGGTCCTCTGCAAGAGCAGCAAGCACTCTTAGTTGCTGATTCATCTTTCCAGTCCCCAATTTTAGCTCTTTTTAACGAAGAGGTTGTCTGAATAATCTAACCTGCTATTACTTGAAAGTGAAAAATTCCTGGAACTTGTAACTTGAAGGCTTAATTTAATTCTACTGTCTCTTTACTCTCGAGATCATGAAATAGCCATGGAATGTTTAATTCTCTGTACTACTAGTGCAAACTCCACCCATCAGTCACTATTTAATGTAAGAACCACAGAATGCTAAGAGTTCAAAAGGTTGTAGAGTCAACATTTAGTCTCTCAATTCAAAGACCAAGCATCCAAAGTTCAAAGTGTAGGCATCTCAAGCTCCACAGTAAGCAGACATCTAATACAATAATTACATGTATTATGTAGAAACGGAAGGGGATTACTGGGTTACTGCACTGTCATTTGTACATCTAAAATGTCAGTAACTGCTAGATTCATGTGCTACATTACCTTACTCTGATATTCAGGTACAGTCACATTTCATGTTGTCCAGTGCATATAGCTGGACAGAGCCAGCAACTCTTGCCCGATCAGAAAGCCTACTCTCAATTTCAGGGTCATCCTGGTCTTATCTTAACAAATAAAGCAATGGCCAAGACTCTTTTGCATTCCTATTACCTGTTGTCGCAAGGACAATGTGTGGGCCACTCCCATAACTGAGGCTGGCTATCTTTTTGCCAGTTAAAAAGTCCACTCTCCGAGGCTCAATGGTGCTCTGAACATCACCTACCCCGAGACAGCCGCTGCAGTTTGTGCCAAGTACAAAAATCTGTGGAAAAACCACTGTCAGTTCACAGAGGTCTATTTCTGACAAGCCTATAAATTACCACAGGCAGTTTTCCCAGAAATTCTATAATGTACTTATAGAATAAATACAACTTAACTTTCCATGCTTTTGTCTAAAGACTTTATTCTTAGTTCCCCAAGGGTTTCAATTTAATAGATCCATTACTAAAAACATGGGTGACTGAGTATTTTTCTTCAAAATTACCTCATCATTGACCGTAGTGTATAAAACTTCATTGCCAGCACTGCCAAAGACACAAGCCTGACGAATTAACTGCAATTCTTCCTCAGAACAAAGGGAAAAAATTGGCCACTTTCCCACATCTAACATCTTCAACGATGACAGGGTAGCCTGTACTGGCTGAAAAGGAAAAAAAGATGTATGTGCTGAGACAACCAATAAAAAAAATGTTCTGTTCCTTTGATTTCTGTAGACAGTTAAACTGGTTTAAAGAGGAACAACCCATTATCTGTTTGGCTTCTGTTTCTAAGAGTCCCTCACAGATGCAGAACTGCCCACAGCCCAGATCCTTCAGTGGAGCCCTCAGAACCAGGTGCCAAATAGAATTAGGTATCACCTATGACTTTTCCTCAGACATCTGGATCATCTAAGGCTGGGCCATGGGAAACTAAATGTTAGGAAGGCTTTAAATATTGGCTATGGCTTAAACGTAGCTGTGGAAAAAATATAAGGTGGGTCCATTAAAGCAGGTAAAGGCTGGAGGCAGAAGAATGGTCACTTCAGCATCTGTTCCCTTGATTGTAACAAAACAAGCTTTGGAACAGAACAAAGCTGAAGGCGACACCAGGGAAATGACCCAAAGGTTTCAGCTCCTGGGCAAGCTTCACCTGGCCCTGTTTGAAGAGCTGCTGGGTTTCCTCTTCCCCAACTCAGGTCTGGGAATGTTAGCAAGAAATATCCAGAAAGCATATGTGCTAATTTGCAAGGACAGCCACACTAGGTGGCCTAAACAATAGAAGTATACTGTCTAACAGTTCTGGAGACTAAGAGTCCCACATCAAGGTGTCAGCTAGCTTGCTTCCTTCCAAGGGCTATCACGGATGGACAGCCCAGGGTCCACCTCTTGACTTGCAGAGGGGAGTCTGTCTTCTAATTGTTTGAACTACGTGCCTTGTATGTGTATCTCTGTGTCCAAAATTCTTCTTCTAATAAACATACCAGAAAGACTGGATTAGGACCAACCTTAATGACCACCCCTTAACTAAGTTAATTATATCTTCAATGACCCCATTTCCAAATAAACTGCACTCTAAAATCCTGGGTGTTGGAACTTCAGCACATGAATTCTGAGGGTCACAATCAAACCCCTAAGAGTTTATGCTAATATTAAGAGCATGTGTCCTCCCTTGGGGTGTGTGTACATCATGAACTGGTCTTACAAGATTACTCATTTGAACACTGGATATACTTAACTTTTGAATGTTTTAAATATATTATAAATATGTTTGTAATAGCCAATATGCCATCAAATGGCATGTCTGGACACTGTCTAGAATGATGACCAAACTCAGATTTAATTTAAAAAAGATTCTTCTGGCCTCTTTCTCATCAGCTTTTAAATAAACCTTATTAGGAATGAGTGCTGATAGAGATCTGGACAGGCCAGCCACTTAATTTCTACAGACCTGAAAGTTTTTATCCCCTTCATCTTAGAAGTTGGTTAAAGTGTCTGAGGCAAAATTCAGCAAAGCGGCTCTTCCTAAGAACATGTCACTGCCTTATGAGTCACTGAGTTATTCCGGGGCCCCTTAAAGATTCCTGCAGAGTCAGGCTCTTTTATCACCTCAACACGGGTCCCTTGAATAAGGTTTAGAATACAGTAAGGGTTAAGTGAAAAAAATCCAAAAAGGCTGATGGATGGTTCCACATCCATTCCTAGTCCTCCTACCCAGGCTGTGTAATTCCAGTACCCTGGTTTCTCTATTCTTGCTGTCAGCTCTACTGGCCCCCACTTCTGTTTCACCTATGCAATATCACTAAACACTACTTCCAAGTTTTCACACTGAAGCTCCTTCTATCAAAGCCAACAATTCTAAACTTGAATCCAAAGTAAATTCTGCTGTGAGCAAATAATAAGGAAGTATCAACAGCAATCCCACTGAACATGAACTTACAAGATAAGCATGGCCACCACCTTGTTTTTGAAATTAACCAATCCATAGATTGGTTCTAGGACACTCTTGAATATAAACATCTTCATATGTAAAATTGTGCAGCATTTGTATATGACCCCTATACATCATCCCCCATGCTTCAATCACCTCTAGATCACTTACAATCCAAATAAAATGTAATGCCGTATGAATAGCTGTTATGCTAAGTTGTTTAAGGAACAAAGACTAAAAAACCACAAGCATCATAGGCCTAGATATGTAACACCCAAAGAGATCTCTGAGGCAAGCATTCCCAAACAATGAGAGATAGAGAGACAGAGGGTCTAATGGAGGAAGGCCCAGCAAAGTGGCCCACACATTTCATTCACATAGGATCAGTGGCCTTCAGCAAATTCAAGTTTTGCTTTTGGAAACTTTCTGAAATTTATTTCCCCAAGTATCTTCAATCTGTGGGTGGCTGACTGTATGTGGAGCCAATGGATGCAGAGGACCAACTGTACAGCTATGTTTTTAGTGGCTATTTTTTCTGAATAATGTTCATGGAACTGCTGAATGGTGTGGCTGAAGAATTCTCATTTACTACATGAAAAACCTGAAAAAGACTCAGAAAAGGGCTGGAGTGGGCTGAATGGAGTCCCTACACAAAGTAAAAATTCACATCCATGTAGAACCTCATTGGGAAATCAAGTGTTTGCAGATGTAATGAGTTAAGATGAAGAAATTCTGAAATAGAGTAGGCCCTAAATCCAATGACTAATATCCTTACAAGAAGAGAGCACAGGGCCGTTGAAATGGCTCACTGGGTCAAGGCACTTATTGTCAAACATGATGATCTGAGTTCAAGGCCCAGGACCCACCACATAGTAGGAGAAACCCAACTCTCATGTCCTCTGATCTCTGACACACACACACACACACACACACACACACACACACACAAACACACACACACACACACAAAACAATGCACTTTTTAAATTTAAAAAAAAAAAGAGCACACACAGAGATAAACAAGGAAGATCAAGTGACAATGGAGGCAAAGAATGGAGTGATGCAACGCATCACTGGTCAAGAAATAATATGGATGGCTGGGGGCCACCGGCAGGATCTAGAAGATTCTTTCTTATTCAGATTCTTTCCAATATGACACCTTGATTTCAGACTGAGAGAATAAGTTTCTACTGTGTTCAGCCACCTAATCTGTAGGAACAGGAACGTTACAACAGTCCTAAGAAATGAGTACATATTTGAAGCAGCTTGCCTCCGCTAACAACAGCACCTGTGAGTTAGTGGCAGCGCTCTTCTGATGCCATGTTCTCCCACTTACTAAATCTGGAAAATCCTAAGACCCTGTGCCAGGAATGGCACCATCTATTTTCAAATATGGGGCAGCAATGACTGGCTCTTCTGTTCAGTTTTGAAGTGTTAATTATTGTTTCTTCAATGACTTTAATTACCAATGCATTAAAAAAAAATAGTACCGGTGGGTATTCTTTGCAAGACAAACTTGATTTGGAATTTGGCATTGTTTTTAAATCTCACAAATACAGGAAGCTACAATTATATGAAAGTATATAAGCAAGTCCCTGTTTTTATTTTAAGTATTTCAGGAAACTAGACTTCATACAGTGATAATTATGTTAACTTAGAAATCAAAGACTTCCTATTTAATTTTTTTTTTTCCTGAGAGACATCTTGTTTACTAGAAGAATGATTTACTCAAGGCTAGGATACAGAAAACTGTACTATGCTAGATTTCAGTCCAAATTTCTAGTTTAAATTACCTACCTCTTTATATCATGAAGTAATATTATTTTCTACAAGGTCCCCCCCTCCCTAATTTTATATATATATATAAAAAATTTATGTATGTATTTCCCCTCTACATTTCAAGAAGAGCAAAGTGTGGAAGGTGGCCTAACAGACATGTTATTCTGTTTTATCTTCAGTTTTTATATTATCTCTAGTCTTGACAATAATCAGGACATAGATTTCACTATCTTCATTTTATAGGAGGAAACTGAGACATAGAAAGACCTCATAATCCTACAAGATCAGTACGTTCAGGGAGACCAGAGAGAAGCTGATCTTTCTACACATCACCTGACTTCCAAGTGAAAAGTTCCCACAGGATGCAGTAATGGAGGCCTAGTGTCTGTGCACATCTGCGCTGTCCTCACAGAGCCCCTAATGTCTGTTTGGCATGGCAGGTGTCAAGATGCAACGACTGATTACTATACCTTGGTTGCTTTTCCTTTCAGGCATATTTTTGGATTTTATTCTGCCCTGCTAACAAAATCAAGTGGCTTATACCAAGAACCATGTAAATTCCAACCAGCTCCTAAACACTTGTCTGAAAGTCATTAGAGCTGAACTATCCCCTTGGCAAACTTAAACAAGTATCTATAGTACCCAGCCCATGATTTTTTGACTACTAGATTCCAATGTTTCTGCGAGTTCCATGTAACCTGTAGTCTATTTATTTACTGAGATGCTACTGATGGAAATATCAGATATAATAGTATTATTGAGCTAAAGGCACAAAAGTAAGATCTAACCATTCCCTCCCAAGAGCTCACAGTCTAAAGGAAAATAGCTACAAATAGCCTAGGTACACCAGACATGTAAAAATTAGCTAGATGCTAAATAACAGTCATCACAAATCCACTTTTTTAAGTCGGGGGGGGGGAACTATTACACAAAGAACTAATTATTTATAAAATATATATTTTTTAGTTTTATTGAGAAAATATATAATAGTAGTCTCTGGAATTTTAGTATTTTTGTTCACAGAAAAACAAAACAAAACAAAACTGTATTCTGTCCAGGGCACTCATGAGATTGTCAAGAGTGTCGAGAGTCCCCACTGAGCATTTGAGGAGCCTAGACTGTATGTGAACCATTCTGCATGCAAGAGATATCTGTGCAGGTGTCCCCACCCCAACTGCTCTGTGTTCCACTGTCAGGTGAGGGACTGGCTGAAATGCTAGGCATGAGCAAGACAATGTGGGGAATTGAACATTTCGAGGAAATAAGAACCTGTTAGTACTCATCAGTAAGACTGTGTCCCTCAAATTCAGCCCTAGTATGGCCCAGGTACTCTCCTGGCAACACATGCCATTGCCTGAGGTGATAATTACCCAGGCCAGTGTTCTTGTACTTAGTCCACATCCCATCTACCAACCCTACCTGTAGCTATCATCTTTTTCGGAAATGCAAGATAATGAGATTTTAATGTTTATACCAAAGGAAACATAAAAGGAAATACACCTGTCATAAAATTAGCAATGCATCTTATCAGTCCTTTGAGTTGTTCCTGCTATGAACATACTTCTGCATCTACATGAGGAAGGATGATCACACTGCATACGATCACAGAAAACCATCAATTGTCACAATTTAGTTTAAAATACAGTCTTTATAAACAGAATTGAAATGGCATGTTGGGTATGCCTAGCAAAACAAGGCCTAAAAAGATGCCAACACCTCATCTTTTGAGGATTTCCTAGGGCTATAAAACACTTTGTATATAAGGGAATTTCACTGATTCTGTGGGTCCATTTGTTTAATTTTATGAAATCTGTTTCAAGGACAAATTGGGAATTTTTCTATTAACATTTAAAAAAGAAATTTTTTTTTATGTGTATGAGTGTTTTGCCTACATGTGAGTGTACCATGTGCATACAATGCCCATGGAGGCCAGAAGAGAACATCAGATCCCCTGGAACTGGAGTTACAGAAGGTTGCTGGGTGCTGGGAATCGAACCTGGATCAAGAGCAGCCAGTGCTCTTAACTGTTGAGCTATCTCTCCAGCCCCTCTATTAACACTTTAAAAAAACTGTGTATGTGTCTGCATAAGTATGTACACATGTATGAGCAAATGCATGTTTGCAGAGGCCAGAAGAAGGCTACAGGTCCCCTGAGGCTGGAGTTATAGGTGGCTGTAAGCAGTACAATGAGGGTTCTGGGAACTGAATTCAGATCCTCTGAAAAAGCAGCCAACACTCTTAACCCTTGAGCCATCTCTCCAGTCCTCTATTAACCTTTTCTAAGTCTCTCAAGCTCTATCATTAGTTTCTAAGCTACTTTTATAAATTCCTACAAGGGCTTACACACTTTATGTCAGCATGTGGTAAAACTGTGGTTGAATTTCAGAAGTTTTGCTGTTCTGTATACTGTGATGATTTTATATAATCATTTATACCTTAAAGAAAGTAACAGTTAATATTAACTGTTTTATGAGGATGAGCAGATATTCTGTAATTTCAGTGTAACAACCTAAGATAGCAATCAACAGGCATGCTGAAAGATGCAAAACTTAGCATCAATTGGATACTGGGTGGACTTAAGCTAGTTGACTATAACATTCAGATGTGATGGACAAGAATAAATTAAAGAGTATGATGACGGAAAGCATATCCTTTATATGTTTTAATATTTTCAATATTTGAGAGAAACAAACTTTATTCAGAGCATTTTACATGGTATCGCCTGTGAGCATAGGCCTATGTTCCTTCTCAGGGAGCCCTTTCTCAACACCTCAAGTGATATCCGCTCCGTGCTGGCCCCTTCAGCATTCCTATATCCCCCAAATATTTATTCATTGGCATCTCAGATAAGATACTGTGAGCCTCTCTAGGGAGATTTATTATATTATCTCACCTCTTCCCATCAGGTGAACAAAGGTACTTGACAAAGTGTGTTTCATGCAACAGAATATGCATGCTGCAAGGACATGCTTTTTTCTAACCTTGCCACTTTCTCCATAGAAAAGAGGAAGTTCTTCTTCCATATGGACTCAGTTCTCTGCAGTCCCTGAGGAAAAAGTATGTGGTAAAATCAGAAGCCCATGTCAGATGAAACTATACAGAAAATTACTTTACTTCTAAGCCAGGTGTGGTGACATATACCTGAATTCCCCCAGCACTTGGGAGTCTAAAGCAAGCAGACTGCTTGAGCCCAGAAGAGAGAAGCTTGGACAACAAAGTAAGATCTTGCATCAAACAAACATGTATAAAGTTACTTCTAAAAAACAGGGAAAATAAGTTCAAATATGGTGAAGGGGTGATAAAGGAATTAAGCTTTTGAAAAGCATGGAAGTTAACAGCTATAAACTCTGCAGGTTGTTGACACTGTTCAGGAACTCTAAGGCTCATCTGGCTGAGGTTTGGAAAAGTACTCCTGGCAGCAGTGCGTGCCTTCTGTCTACAAGGAAATAAGTAGAAATTTTCATCTCACAAATGACTTTCTATTGGTAAGGAAAAATAAATTCTAGACCTTGGGTAACTTTTCTCTGGGACTGGAAAGTTCCAAATCACCGTGAAGACCAAACTTATCAATTCTCAGCTCCTGAAGAATGTATGATTTGCTAAACTGGAAAAAAAAAAAAAAAAGGAGAAATGAATGAAAAAGATGAATGAATGAATGAGTGAATGAACCAATGAATGAATGAATGACTTTGTTATCCTGGACTTTAACAACAACAAAGAAGTCTGAAACAATAGCCATCAAGTAAGTATGCAGCAAGAACATGAATGTCCTTTCCTTAATAACTCCTCATCACATCAAATTGACAGCAGAATGTCTGCACTGTGTATAGTTCAACTGTTAAAAAGAACTATCCCATGGCTTAAAATAAATATAAAATCAGTTGACTCAAACTTTATTTAGCCACATTCATTGCTGTCTAATTTTTTAGGCTGGATCCTATCTAAACACGATCTAGATTTCAAGTACTAACATCAGAACAAATTATCTGGTGCTTGCTACAATAGTGCTAGAACTTCAAAAACATAGATTAAAAACAGTCAAAATGGGGTCAAGTGTTATCATGTCCCTTTAGCAATGTTTGATATGTCCTTCAAGATGTTTTTTCAATTGTAAGTAGGTTTCTCACAATATAAGGAACGATGTTTTCAGAAAATCCTTAATTTAGAATGATGGCAACAAACAGCAAATCATTATTTCTAATGTTTGGAAAGAGAAAACATATACTTCTTTGAAACAGGATACTTGGTTGCTGGGGATAAAGCTCAATGGCAAACCACTGGCCTAACAAAAAAATAAAATAAAATCACTTGAATTTTTTCACTTGTAAATTTTGAAGACTTGATCTGGTTGACAATATGGGAAGATAATTTTGTCATATATATAATCAATATGACACATTATACCACTTAAGCGGATCTGCTGAAATCCCAATTTTCTCTAAATCACAGATGATCATGCCAAGGATGGTGGTTCTGGATTAGCCAAATGGGTGGGGCCCTTTCTTCTCTACAATTCCTCGAGTCTTTTGTTTTCAACATCATTAATGGCCTTTTTCACACATTCTGCCTCAGGTGAGTTATTCCCAGATGATTTATTGTCTCTATTAATTTGCAAACTCTTTCAGAAAGGAGACCATGATTTTTTCATTACTATAACCACAAGGACATGTGACAGAGTAGAGAACATGGTATTTTGTATTTGGCACCAGCCTGTCTGCTGAGTCCTTTTCTGATTTTTTTCCCTCCCTAGTGCTGGAATCAACCCCAGGGCCTTGTACATGCAGGTCAAGCATTCCACCACTAAGCTACCACCTCTTCTCCCTCACACTTTGCCTCATTCTAGCTGGAAAGACTTTTTCCATATCTAACTCAAACTTTACTAGAATGAGAAATTTAAAAAGAGAGATTGGGCTTGGCGGGCGTGGCTCAAATAGTAGAACACCTGCCCAGTATGTGTGAGGCCCTAGCTTCAATGCCAGTATCACAAAAATAGAAAAAAAGAAAGCAGGAAAGAGGGAGAAGAATAGAGGAAGAAAATAGAAGGACGGGAGTAGAGGAAAAGAATTCAAAGGCGTGCAGGGGTTGGGGGAGTAATGGAGAGAAGAAAAAGGAAACAAAGTACAAAGGTAACTGGGCTCACCATCCTTAGCCTCTGGTTCCTAAGGGAAGGGAAACTTTAAATGTTCAGGGACTAGGAATCCCAAGTTTTAAGTAGAAAAAGAAATTACTTTCTCAGTGTCTTTGATCACATACGAATATAATAAACTCTTTAGAAATGGTAAGAAAATAGACCATTCTGCATACCAAAATAGCCAGGTTAAAACTTAATTACATGTGTAGCACATGGAAATTAACACATTCAAAGAATGGCATTTATAAGACTCAATTTGGATTACCTATAACAGTAACAATTTCATGTTCACTGTTCATATTCAAAATTTAAAAAAAAATTTAAGTCTAATTACTAATATAAAATGATATAAGCACATTTTCTAGTTTTATAGAAAATGGTCGACTCGTTTTCATTAACAATGTCACATAAACATAACAGTGAAAACTCATTTCCTCAATTTTTACTATTTGAGGATAGTGTTAAGAGTTTACTTACAGTTGTTTACTTAGTTGTCTTATTCTGTTATCTGCATGATTCTTACTACATTATGATCAATATCATAATACTGCATCAATATATATTTGCTTTTTTAAAAAATATAGAGATTTAAAGCATCTCTAATATATATATTAGAGAGAGGGAGAGGGAGAGGGGGAGAGGGAGAGAGAGAGAGAGAGAGAGAGAGAGAGAGAGAGAGAACATCTATGATGTGATGAACCAGCATTCTAAACTACAACAGTAACAATAACGCGTAAACAGTGACATGTGAAGTGTAGGTCAGTATCTCATTTAATTTTTACAATATCTACACAAATAGAGGTGTAAGATGTAATCACTCCCTCCAATTTATGAGCATTTCAATAACTTGACCAACAATAACCAATCAGATCAGAGTTAGAATTAAACCCAGAGGGCTTCTATAGCTATTGCTCTTAGACTCTCTCAGCAGGCATGGCCAATCTGTTACCCACCAGTCACATAGCATGAGGCCAGTGACAGCCACGAATATGACCCAACCAAAGTTGTAAACTTAGTTAAACATTATGGTTTTTTTCTTTGTCTGTTTGTTTGTTTTGGCAATTTCTGTAACTCGAGTGGTTCTCCAGTGTGAGCTCTGGAGATGATGACATCATCTCACAATGTCAAAGGTTGACACTCATGCTTGTACAAGTAGGGATGATGTAAGGTTTCTGTGTACATTCCAAATACTTTTATACTGAATACCTAGGAAAAGCCCCTCCAAAAGCATTTGTACCTTACTGCTTTAAAGTTCTGTAGCCCCAGATTCAGTCATCTTTAATCGTGTTCCTTTTGGAGCCTTGTGAAGTTGTCTTCTAGGAAAAAGTTAGTGTGACTGAAATAAATACATAAAAAAATACTATTAGAGAAAGTCTATAAAGAGAATATACTATTTTACAAATTTAATAATTCATTATTACCTAGGAAATTTTAATATTTTATTTATTTTTATTTTATGTATATGAGTGTATTGCCTGAATATATGTACATGCACCCAAATCATGCAATGCCTGCAAAGGTTAGAAGGAGGTGTTGCCGGAACTATAGTTATAGATGGGTATTAGTTGTCATGTGGGTGATGGGAACTGAACCTAAGTCCTCTGCAAGAGCAGTCAGTGCTCTTAACTGTTGAACCATCTCTCCAGCCCCAAGGAAAAAAATATTTTTTAATTGTTATTGGCTCTCTTATGAATAAAAAATCAGTAATGGGGTGCTCAAATATAAAAATATTAAAATTTTCAAATATAACTTTCAGAGATAACATTCTATAAATTTCAAGACAGGGCTTTAACAATGTGAACACTGAAACACATGTGAAACCACAAAGAAGGGTTTTAGTTTTTTGGGTCTTGTTTAGTTTTGTTTTTGAGAAAGGTTTTCTACTATGTAGCCATAGTTGATCTGGAACTTGCCACATAGACCAACCAGGATAGCCTCAAACTCAAGATTTGCCTGCCTTTGCTTCCCAAGTGTTGGGATTAGATGTACACCACCAGTCCTGGCCACCAAAGAAAGTTTAATCTGTGCTACTTTAACAAAGAAATGAAAAGAGAAATCATATGGAATGTAAAAACCAAAGCTTTCAAACTTTTTTAAACCTGTATTTATTGAGAATTTCATACAAGCATATAATGTTTTGATCAAATCCACGCCCACTCCCTCCCCTCTAACCTCCCATATCTCCCCATCACTTTTTTCTGACAACTTTGTGTACTCTTTCTTTCTTTCCTTTTTTTTAATGGGGCTTTTTGCTACTCTAATGTTCCCCCCTCTGAAGAGGTAACCCTAAAATCTTTTAGGGATTAGATTAGATCTCCCAAATACTTTTGACATTTTTGGCCTTTGGAACAGAATATGTTGCTAAGAGACTCAAGAACATTTTGACTTTTAGCCAAGAAACTGGCTACTTTTCTTTGGAGTCTTTTTAAAACCCTAACTGCCTAGCCATTTCCTACCTCCTATTCTTATCACACCATCCTCTGAAGAGGTTACCCAAATTATCAATAGGGAATTGGGACGCAGACCGCTCTGGCTTCTTCCATGCTAAACAGGGACGCAGGGTGAGGCAACTGGAGTACCCCTTCAGTGGGTCTATCTAAAAGACTCCCAAATTGTCTAACTCTTATCACCATGTGGGGGACAGGAAGACATTTCTTTTTGTTTATTCATTTTTGAGACAAAGTCCCTTTGTATAACCCAGACTGGCCAAGAACTAATTCAATATGTAGCCCCAGGTGGCTTTGAACTCGCAATCCTCCTGCATCAGTCTCCTGTGTGCTACAATTATAGGTTTATGCCTCCTTACTCAGCAAAGGAATTCTTAAGCCATGAAAACATAAACCACAAAGACTAGTAAATCTGTGCAAAAGGGTAACATATAGATGCTGGGTTTAGTGGCACACACCTTTAATTCTAATACTTGGGAGGCAGAGGCTGAAGAGGATCTTTATGAGATCGAAGCCAGCCTAGTCTACATATCCAATTCCAGTCCAGCTGGTACTACAGGAAGACCCTATCTCGACCCCTCCCCCCCAAAAAACGGGGATGGGTAGATATGATACATCATAGGAGAACATACTTGCAACATATATAACTGACAGCTGTCAAAAGGACTAGTATCTAAAAGGACAAACATATAAGCTATTCATGGAAGAAACAAACATACACTCAAGTTCACCACAGAATTTATCACAGTGATACAACCACAATGAGATCAATCTTATCTACTAGAACTACAAGAATTAAACAGAGACAATCCCCTGATGCTAGGGAAGACAGCAAAAGACACAGCTGTACACTGCTTTAAGGAATATAAATTAATTCAGTCACTTTGAAGGACAGCTCTACAATATTTTGATCACCATAGCATCTTTAATCTTTTTTGATACATATAAGCAGCTTGTTATGGTTTGATCTCAAACATGTTCCAAAAACTAATATGTTAAAATTTTGGTTCCTAGAGCAGAAGAATTCAGAGGTGGGGCTTGGGAGGTGATGGATTGTGAGGGCTCTAACCTCTTCAATAAATGAATCCACTGCTGGACTTGTAGCTTATGATGGAAACTTCAGGAGGTAGTGCCTGGATGGAAGATGTAGGCTATAGGGGGGGCATGCTGAGGAAGGGTATACTTTATCCTTGGCCCTTCCCCTCTCTCTTTGTTTCAAGGCTGCTATGAAGTGAACAGCTCCGCTCCACCATGTGCTTGTACTAGGATGCTCTGCCTCCCCACAGGCCAAAAGCAGTAGGGACAAGCAACCATGGACCAAAACCTCTGAAACTGTGAGCCAAAATAAAGGTTTTCTCCTTTCAAAGTGTTCAACACAGACATTTTGTTACAGCAACACAAAGCTAGTATATAATTGAAACAAAAATTTCATAAAATAACTCTTATCCCTCTTACATGAGATGTTAATGGATATTTATCACTGTCTATACAATGCTCTGCTTCTCTGTCCTCTATCCTATTTCAACTCATTCTATTTTAATATAAAAGAAAATGCTGTTAAATGACTTCAAGATCACTAATAAGCTCCATAGCTTAAGAAACTGAGCTAGAGGCTGGGAGTGTAGCTCCGTGGTAGAGTGCTTGCCTGGCATGCCAAAGCCCTGGGTTCAATCCTTAATACCATCTTTAAAAGTAATGAAGAAAAAAAAAAAAAAAGAAAGAAAAACTGACCTTGGTGAACCCTAGGGCATATACAAAGTTGTTTGCAAGAGCAAAAATAAACAAAAATCCTAATAACTAGTAAACAGAATTGGTCAACATAATCTATCAACAGAATCGACAAACTGCAGAATAAACATACAGCAATTAAAACTTTCTAGACTGAACAATATAGAATAATCACCATGTCACGAAATAATACATAAGATATACCACTTGCTAAGGTTTTAAAAACATGCAGAAATGGCCTCATTTAATGGATTGCAACCCTCATAATGTATATCAACACAGTTTTCCTCATTTTGTTTAAAAGTAATAAAAAACGGTGTTTTTTGTAGACTCTCAACCGTACTTGATCCTTCAATTGTAACACAAACAGAAAATGAGAAGACAAGGGCCTGCAGCAGGAGCGCCTGCCTCTGATCTCTGCCTTTGGAAGCCCCAAACTGGGCACTCAAGACCAGTGTCTCAAAGTTTCCCAAGAGTAAGTATTAAAGGCAAATAAATATCAACTAAGGTCATCTGTTACATGGTATTCCTTATTCCAGCTGTTTTCCCACACCAATGTAGTTCAATAATTTATTTCTAAATTATCCTATTTGGATATTATCTAATAGTATCTAAGTTATTAACAGAAAGATAATTCCTATTTGAATACATTGTATTCTGAGTTTTCTCTACACAACTGAATACTAGCAGACAAAAAAGACAGTCCTTATGACAAATATATCAATTTCTAATCCTGACAGAGAACAGAATAACTCATGTCCCAGTACAAAGCACAAAAAAAAAATAAGCAGTCTGTACATACTATACTGTTGGTGAAACATTCAGCATTAATCAGTGTGTCTGTAACACAATGTGTCATACTACTTGGAAATAACTGACCTACAAATGAGGTAAGCTGATTATAGGACACATTCATTTGCCTAATTCATTTGACAAATACTGATTTATTGCCTGTAGTAGGCACTGAGTGGAAAGCAAACATGTAAAAAGAACAAACACACTAATGTAGAAATAGCATATCCAGCTCTTAGGTGCTTGTGCCCACACTACCAACCTGCACATGGGCCTTAAGACCTTCTGAATGCTGATATTTATCAGACATGATCCCAGAAGAAAAGGGAGGAAAAGGGGAATTGCAGGGAAATCCAAGCGTTACTTTGAAATTCAATTTCATGAGGTCAATTCTAAAGTCATGTTTGAGGAACATAATGTATAAACAAAGTTTCCTCGCAATATATAACTCAATGTTATTAATAAATTCTCCCATCTGAGCTAGTTAATGATGACGTTTGCCTAATCAAAGAAATGGAAGGTTAAACAAAACTGGTCTTGCGGGCCCCAGCAGAGCTTACACTTATCAGTGTGTTAATGAGCTACAGTGCAAGTCAATGGGGGTAATGATGGTCCCAAGTACGTGCTCTGCTGAGTCATTAGGGTCTTTCATTAGTGTCATTCTTAAGTTATACATAATACAAATATATAAATAAAACATGACCTCAACTGTCACTTGCAGAAAAGAACAGTGTTGGCTATAATATAAAATAATCCTCTTGAATGAGATGTTGGTAATGAAAAACAAGTAGTAATAAGACACCTAAACAGATGCTAATTAAAAGAAGTGATTTTATATAAGCAGATTAATAAAACTAAAAGTACAATGAGAACTGGGGAACACTCTAGAAGGAAGGAATTCTGCCATATTTATGAAAAGCAGTACACCAATGTTGTAGAACACAGTTGCTATTTCAGTTATTTCTTTGTAAAAAGGTTCCAAAATTTTACCAAAAGTGTTGAGTGAAGCAAACTGGTCCAAAGAAATTCTGTAATTAGTCTGAAGACATTACTGAGCTCCTCAGCACTGACGGTAAAAAATAGTACCTTCAAATAGAAAAATTATCAACATAAACTACAAATACAGGTTTAGTTATTACATGAGCCACTACTTGAGAGTCATTTTTAAGTCCATTTGAAATTTAGTTCCTAGTAGATCCTAACACATATATTAAATAGTATCCTTAACTGTTAAGTCAATCTTGGCCCCAGAGCATGATTCCTTGAACATGGTAGGCTCATTTCCTCATGGGATTCCTTTTGTTCAGTATACATTTGGCATAATACAAAAAATTTTAAGAGTAGCTATTGTCCACTGATACTTACTAATTCAAAATTGTCCATGGGGGGTGGTGACACATAATACATATTAGCTCAAGTTAGATTAACAAAACTGATGGTATCAAAGAACACATACCAGTGTCAGAATAATGTTGAAAAAAAAAATGGTTTCAATTTCCTGAAGAACTTCATGTTGTTAGGATGGGGTCAGGATACGAATGAGGCATATGCTCCTTCCAGATCAGGAAAGTTAAAAGGATCACACCTAGCCTCCCAACCGTGGACAATATGAACATCCTTTACTTGTCTCAAGTAGACATTTATTCCCACATGGGGCCTACCTGTTTTCAGCCTTAAACAGGAGGCCTTAACATCACTGTGCAACCTGACAATTCTGTTCCTGGTCTCCCTTTCCTGAACAATTCTATCTGTAACAATGCCAAATAAACTTTGAAAACAGGAGTATCTTATGGGCATACAATTATATGAGAATATTGTTAGGGTTCAGATAGCCCCACCCCCTCACCAACAGGGTCTCAAGGACTTCCCAAGCTCCTGAGAAAAGGGAACTGAACTGATAAGCACCCTGGTCTCTGAAGTCAAGAGAAGCAGACTTTTCTCCACTGTTTGGCCAACACAGCAGACTTCCCGTTTGATCTCTAAAGGTTTTAACAGTCTGGTTCTCCCACTCCGCCCCCCACCACCCACCCAACTTTAAAAAAAAAAAAAATCTTCCTGCCTTCTGTAGGAAGCAGAAGCCTCCCCCTTTAAAAGACCCCAGCTCATGACCCAGGGCAGACGGAATTTCCCTGCCTGGAAGGGAATCTGTCCCATGTGTTCTTTGCTAATAAACTCTATTCCGATGGAGTTTTATCTGTGTCCCAGTGCTTTCTCCTGATCAACTCTATTTGTCATAGGGCTACTTTTTACCTATCAAATATAAGTCAACTATATAATTTTCTCAGCACATCTGTAGTGGTTATCTGTTTAGTCTTTCCCATGAGAGAGAATATGGTCTCTTAATTTGCTGTGATGAGTTAACCTATAAAATCCTAATAATCTGAACTCTGTCTTATCTACACATTATAAAGGATGGTAACATCCATCACAGTGCCAGCGCCACAGCCCTAGGAAAAACAGAGTATGGAAATGAATATTTTCTCCTAAAAGGACTTTTAATTCCCCCATGAATACCATCTTTAATGTATCCTTCCCACAGTCCAGGTTGTTTAAAACTGCCACCCCACCTTTGCACTCTCAATCCCTTCTCTGCTCTCTTTTTCATTTTTTATAGCTTTTATCACTTTCTGGCAAAATTGCTGAATTTTGATTGCTTATCATTTTTCACAAAATGTAACCTCAAGAGAGAAGGGATTTTTTTTTTTTAAAGGCTCTCCCTGTAGCCCCAGCTGACATGGAATTCACTATGTAGACCAGGCTGGCCTTGATCTCAGAGATCCACCTGCCCTCTGCGTCTTGAGTGCTGGAATTAAAGGCATGCACCACCATTCCAGTGAGAAGGTGTTAGGGTCCATGACTCGGTGGGTCTCTTCAGCTTTTCATTCTTTGATAAATCCAAAACACCTAGGACAGCACCTGATATAAAATAAATGTCATATAAATCCAAGTTCTATGCAAAAGTCTCTCTACAGTGAGAGTGAGTCCAATCTAGCTCACACAATTAACAAATGCCTTCTAGGTGCTGATTATGGGCACAACACAGGGAATGATACCAGTGTCTAATATAAGATATCAGTGCTAAAAGGCCCACAGTAGAAGAGGCTCAAGAACCAGAGCAATGGCTATTTTAGATGGCACAGCTCTAAAATGATACAGCTGTTTCAAGATGTAAAGTCTGGTGCCACAGTGATTGTGGATCATGGAGGTAACAGGAAATACACTGGCCCTGGAATGAAGGTGCAGTTGGAATGCCCTAAAACAGCAAAGCCTGCATGGTGGGAGTGGAGTGTTCAGGATACATGTACTTCTAGTTGCCCTACTTGCACCTAGTGATATGTACATAGCACCTAGAATAGAAAATGCAGATGTTCTTTTCATTTGTGTACTCAGTCTCCAACTGTTTATTCTATTCCAGCCTCCAAATGCCCATCCCAGCACATAGACTGCAAGGCACACAAGAAATGTCATTGTTAGAACTCTTCACGGTAGCCCCTGACCTCTTCAAACTGACTAACCCACATGCCACTACCCAGTAAGGTGTAAAACTAAGCAAGGACTTACTACCAAGAAGGTGCAAAACTAGAGGGCTCAGTGACCGTTAAACAATTATCCTTTTCAAATCCCTTTCAAATCTAGAGGAAAGAGCAAAGTTCTACAGCACTGTTTTGTGAAGTCAACCACTTTTGTTCAGCTCTGACAAAGATTAAGTCATCAAGTAACCATCCAGACAGGAGGAAAGGCATTCTAAAGAAAGACACAAATGCCCCCACGTTTAGCTATCAGGCAATGGACCTCAAGGGAACTGGGACAAGAGCTGAGAAAAGGACGGGCCAATCATGTACAAGTCCATAACTTCACCAGGCCTGCTTAGCTATGCACACGTCTTGCCTTCTATTTAAACCTAAACCTCAAATCTGGACGTCTAACAGAGGGTGAGAGGGTCACTGTACCTCTTCCTTTGTTCCTCTTCCCAAGGTGCCCATATTGAATAAATCTCTGTTTTCACTATTACTTGTGTCTTCAATTGGCCTACTGAGGCCCAGCCTAGTTTGTTAGGGCTATCAGAGTCCGGACTCTGATTGTAAAAACTCCGGTAATGTGCTAAAAGCACGTCTGCCACATATCCTTTGTTACTGTCCTGGGTTAAACCTTCGCCTCGTACAGAACAAAAGAAAAAAAGCAACCTATTTCCAACTCGGGCAGGAAGTTCTATCTCTTAACAAGGCGGACTATTCGGAAAGTTTTCAACCTCTAAAACCTTCCACTTCCGGGCTAAGCAGAGCAATACCTTCCGGCTTCAAAACCACAGGAACAACAGCTTTGGATAACAAAGGCAGATCCCTGCGCTGTCCCTCCACTTCGGTACCAAAGGTCTAAAACACAATTTCCATGGAATCAGCGAGGCGCTTCCGGGACTGGGGGTTAAAGGGAAAGTCTGAGGACTCGGGAGACACGGGTGGAGGCGGTCCAAATGCAAGCAACATCGGCAGCACTGGCTGTGTAGGGTAGAAATGGATGGAGACACTGAGGCAGGAGACCCGGCACCGGTCCCCGCCAGCTGGAAGCGGAAACCCGTGAGAGGTCATTACTTTGGGGCTAGGCCTAAAGGGACCCCAGCCCAGGCTTTTGCGCATGCGCAGGGCTCCATAACCCCAGGGTCGGGGAGCGGCCGGGAACGCAGAACTACCCACACCAGCCGCTCTTTCGGGCTCGCGCGTGCGCAGCCAGGCGTGGGCCTGCGGCCTGGGTAGGATGGCGCCGCGAAGCAGCGTGCCCAGGCCCCGCAGCGGCTGGCGCACATGCGCGGCGACGCCTAGGCCCGATGCTCGGTGTGGCTCTCTGGCCAGGACCTTCGTGGCGCTCGCAGGGCGCGGTAGGCGGTCGGGGGAGGCGCGGCCCCCGAGAGGAATCGATAGCGCCCCCGGGGCGTCCGCCGCCGCCCACCGGCCTCCCGCGGCTCGGCGCACCCGCTTACCTCCGCGCGGGCAGAGCGCGTCCGCTCTGCCTCCTGGGTAGCCCGTACTGCTCTGCCGGGGGCCCGAGCTGCGGAGCTTGGCGCCTCCCCCTGAGGCGGCAGCACTCAGCGGGCCGCGCTGGGGTCGAGCGGCGGGGAGGGAGGGGAGGGAGAGCCGGAGGCAGAGGAGGGGGCTGCGCACTCGCCCCTCCTCCGACCCCGACCCCCGCCCCTCGCCGCCGCCAGTCCGGCGGGCGGCCTCCCCAGGACCCTGTGCAGATATCTACCTTCTGTCGGGGCCAGCATTGGGGGAACTTACGGCTCTCAAGTTCTAGGTTTTCTCTTGAAGACACTGATTTTTCTGTTTGCTGAACCAAGGGTCTAATTTCATTCTGCATGTGCATGTCCAGTTTTACCAACTCTGTCTAGAAGACAGCCATCATTGTGTTTATTCGCGGACTCAAAGATCAATCCGCTTTAAAAAGAAGGGAATTGTGTCACTTGGGACGATAAGGATGAATGAACCTGAAGAACGTTATGTTCAACGAAATAAGCAGGCATAGGACAAAAACTTCCAGATCTACTTTATGTTATCTATTTTATCCCGCAAAAAAGTCTAATTAGAAGCCCTGGGTCTGTGGAAAAGGGGGAGATTGGACAGCTATTAATCAAAATTCAGGAGGAGCAAGTTAAAGAGACCTATTGAAGAATGTAGTGTCTATAGTAATTAACAATGTATATTGGAAATTGCGAAAAATTGCGAAGAGAATAGATATTAAGTGTTTTGGTTTTCGTTTTTGATACAAGGTCTCCCTATTAGCTCAGATTAGGTTCAAAACTGAGTCTTCTGCCTGAACACCACCCCCATACTTGATTTTACCATCTCATGCTATAGACATATAATATCTCCCACCCCCCCCCCCCCATGTTTTTTTTCACTCTCTCACGTTATATACATATATCACAAAAACCTCTCTCTCTCTCTCTCTCTCTCTCTCTCTCTCTCTCTCTCTGTGTGTGTGTCTGTGTGTGTGTGTGTGTGTGTGTGAGTGTGTATGTGGTTTTCAGTTAAAATTTTTAAAGAATTCAAATTTTTGAGTATTTTCTTGGCCTGAACTCTCAGTGTACATTATCTCAGTCCTCTCCTACAGGTGAGACAGTGGAGATAGATAACTTACCTACATCATCTCTGATTCCAAGCCGGATCTCTTTTCACTTGACCATGTGGTTTCTTTCCAAATGAGTTGGTAAAGTGGGTGGAATAATAAGTCTTAGCAATGTAACTGCAAGATGTGTTACAGCAACCTACAAAGAATTTCCAGAGAGTGTGACAAGATCCTTTGTGTTGAGCAGGCTAGCACTGTGGTGCCAATGGTAGAATGTAGAGTCTGGAAACTGAAAGGTTAGCTTAGGCAGAATACCCTCAGTCCTTGAATTTAGTGTGACAGTGGAGTGAGCTTAAAGAGAGGAGAAAATGGAGTTGAGAAAATTCTAGGAAATGAAAACAAGACTAGATGTTTGGGAGGGGAAAATGTGAAATTGGAACATCATGTAATATTTTGTGGGCCCCAAAATCTTTACCTTTAAGATGGAGCATTGGACTGTTCAATATTTCACAAAACATGCTGATACCAAAGCCTGACAGAGATGACACATTTGGGTATGTTGAGTTTAAAAGAAAAATCCTAGGGCTGGAGAGATGGTTCAAGGGTCGGAAGCACTGACTGTTCTTACAGAGAACCTGGGTTCGTTTACTAGCACCCACATGGTAACTGACAACCCTGCGGTAACTCTAGATCCAGGGAAATTCCACGCCTTCTTCAGCTCTCCTTGGGCACTGCACAACACTGGTGCACTTAAACACATACGGGCAATACACTCGTACATGTAATATAAAAATTAAACTTTTTTTTTTTTGGTCTTTTTGAAGCAGTGTTTCCCTGTAGCCCCAGCTGTCCTTGAACTCACTATGTAGACCAGGCTGGCCTTGAACTCACAGAGATCTGCCTGCCTCTGCCTCCCAAGTGCTGGGACTACAGGCGTGTGCCACCACGCCTGGCTAAAAAAATTAAACATTTTTTAACATCCTAAATACAATAAATAATCAAATAATAACTTAGAAGTATATTTTACCGTGGCTAAGACAGAGTTTATTTCAGTGGTGTAAATCCGATATAATGTTAACAAAGTAATGTATTTCTATGTAATAATAGGTGATTTGATTGGTGATTAATAATAGGTGTAATGATTGGTGATTTAAAGTAATAAAAAATAGTCAATTTTGGTCAAAGAAACCTTTAATAAATAGATATGTTCACACAGAGTGGTAGCTTTATGCTTAGTGATGAACTTCTAAGAACATATCTAAGAAATACATAAAACTGATGCCTACTTACACATAATATTGTACAGTATGAACATAATAGAGGTGCATGAGAACTTAAATTGATGCAGAAGCTTTAATGTATGCCATCACACACACAGCTCCTTTGAAGTTTTGGGTTTTTTTTTTTAATTTTTGGGTTTTTTTAGAAAATGTAGGCCAGGCTGACCTTGAACTTTCAGAACTAATGCCTTTGCCTTCCAAATGCTAGGATTCTAGGCATGTGCCACACATGGTTCCTTTTCAGTTTTTGATAAGTTAAATTCAAAAGTATTTATCGATGTCTGCCCCAGAAGATGGAGTTGCCACTGTGCTGGGGTAACACACTGGTCTAGTGATACTGTACATGTCCAGCAGTAGCACTAGAAGTGACCTTAGTGACTGCTTTGTACAAGACTTGAGAGAAAAGATGATGTCAGGGCCCCTTCCAGGAAGGCCGGTGACATTTTAACTGCATCCTTTTCTTCTTTATGCCTGAAAAGGCAAGATGTCCCGGTAACAGTTCAGTTACCTCCGGTACTGGAGGAAATCAGTGCTGTTTGGATTTTTCACAAATGTCTGGTCAGTGATCTAAAGCGGCTTTCCCAGTACTGCAAGAACAAGGACCAAGATTGAGGATGAGGGTCTAGGGTAAATAAGCAGAGCAGGTGTCAAGGCAGGCGGTTTTGTAGTATTTGAGTATTGTAGGTCTTTATAGTAAATAGTAGAGCCTAATTTGCTCCAGTTTAACATTACAGCCTGGATGGGATCCTCAACTGAAGTAATGATCTTTTGCATGCTTTGCTTTTGTATGTAATTCTCCCAGAGACTTCAGAGAAAAGCAGGTCAAGAGCAGGATTGGGGCTGTCCTAGATCTCCTGGTCAAAGACCACCTTAATTCTTCCCACTTTGGGCCTGACATAACTATACTATGAAACTTTAAGAAAGTGAACAGAAAAACTTTTGGAAATAGTGACAACATTTAGTGATATGTCCAAAATCAGTACACAAAGATCAGTAAGGAAAACTGTAGAACCACCGAGGGACGAGGCAGATGACCCATACTCCATCCTTACATAGGAATCCTTTCTCCTAAAATCAATCTACAGATCTATTGGAGTGCTAGCAAAAATCTCATCAATTATACTTAAATAATTTAAAAATATAACTGAAAGGCTAGTTCAGTTCGGTAGAAGACATTTCTGGAAGACAGTTTGCTGTTTGACTTAACAATCTCACCATTAGGAATTTACAAGTATGAAAATTTGTAGAAGGATAGTCACAGCAGCATTGTTAGAATTGGAGAGCATGGTGTCAGTCCACTGAGGCTGTCGTAACTAAACACCTTAGACTGGGTAATTTATAAACAGTAATGTCACATGTCTGGGGTCCAGGAAGGCAAAGGTAAGGGCACCAGCAGAGCTGGGGTCTGGTAAGGGCTTGCTTTCTGCTCCATTTACTGACCTTGTTGTTTCATCCTCATGTGGGGGAGATGATAACACTGTGTCCTCACATGGCAGAAGGCATAAGGGAGTGTCCTGGCGTCTAATCCCTTCTCACATGACTTAGTCACTTCTTAAGGGCCTACTTCATAATACTACCGCACTGGGTAGTAGGTTCTAACGAGGATGGCAGAGCGCACTGCCATGCACATTGTAGCACTGGGGCAATGACCTTTATATTCTGTAGGACACTGGGTAAATTAAAGCACGGCGAATTTTAATAGCCTCATTTTGTTTTATTAATTTTTAGGGAAAAGTAAAAATTAACTAAAATAGAGTAATTAACAAGCCCCCGTGACTCATCATTCAACAATTATCAACTCATGACTAGCCTGGTTTTATTAATACTTCCATTCTCCTCGCCACTCTTGTCAAGCATCAATTCACCTGTAGAT